CTACTTGGTTTTTTTATATTTTTAAATCACTTCTGTTTACATAAAATTTACAGTACACCTACTCTGTGAAATTTATAGCAAGAATCTATGTGAATATAAATATGCCTAAGACACAGTCCCTACCTCCAAAAATTTCATAGGTAGTGAGAAAAAAAAATCCATGTAATCAGATGATTTCAGTAAAAAGTGGTAAACGCTGTGATAAAAATGATGGCTTAGTGTGCTATATGTGCCAAATAACTTAGAATCAACAAATAATTTCCGGGAAAGGTGGTAGCTGAACTGATTCTTAAATTGTGAATGAGAATTTGAGAGGCAAATAAGATAGGGAAGGACATTCCAGGAAAAGGAAACAGTAACACAAGTGGTGTAAGACAAGAAATGAAATGATGAGGACGGAAAACTGAAATAATTCAGCATCACAGGAACACAAATGAAAAGGCAGCAGGGGTTGGTGGAAGATGAAACTAAACAGGAACCAAAGAAAGGAGGCTCTCATATGCCATGCGTGTCAGTCAGGGCTCCTAGCTCCAGACAGCGGCATATCTTCCGCATGATTTAGACAGAAAGGAAATTCATTAAACGACAGTATGAGAATGTTCCCATGCAGGAATTCCTTACCAGCATTCTCAAGAAGTTTGTTTTCCAAATCACAAATCTCCAGAAAAACTGAGAAATTGAAAAAATCAAAAAGGTTAATAATTCTCTGTTGAGAATGAAAGCATGACAGCAGTGGTTTGAAAGAACCCACTGGCATGAAGTTAAAAGCAAGAGGAGGAAACTAACACAAGGGGTAGTTGTTGCCATGTTTAAGTTTGTTGCCATGTTCGTGGCCCTAGCTGCTACTAACAGTAAGCTATTCTTGCATGCAAACTTAGTAAGTTTATATTTATAGTATACTTTGTGCAAATCCTAATAACAAACTTTTAATAAATAAGTTAGAGAGCAAAATAAATCTAAATCAGCAATTTTGACACATACTTTGTATAGTATGCTAACCTACTAAATCAAAATGTTAATATTATTTGAGCATTTTCCAGTGTTTGAATATTCAATGCAGGCTATAGTTCTTTGTAAATACTACTAAAATTGATACTTTAATGATTAAACCACTTTTAATGATTTCTCCACTTACTAGATATTCAGCATTATCTAGAAGCTGATAATGCTGAATATGTAAAAAGTGGAGAATGTTAGTTTTCTATAGTCATATAATAAACTATAATAACTTAGTGACATAAAATAATACAAATACATTATCGGACAACTTCCATGAGTCAGAAATCCAGGTACAAAGTAGATGGGTTCCCTGGCCAGGCTCTTACAAAGGTGAAATCAAGGTGTTGGTAATACTATGTTCTCACCTGGAGCATGGGGCCCTCTTCCAAATTCATTTAAATTATTGGAAGAATTCAGTTCCTTGCAGTTGTATTATAGAACTAACACCCCCATTTTCTTGCTGGCTGTCAGCCAAGGCTTATGCTCAGCTTCTAGGAGCCCACCTCAAGTTCCAACCTAATGGTCTTCTTACAATCTAGCAGCTAAATTCTTCAAAGGCACAAAAGACTCTCAGTTATAATCTCTCTGGCTTTTTTTTTTTTTTTTTTTAAGAGTTCACTTGGTTGGGCCAGGTCCGTCTAGGATAATCTCCTTTTTGATTAACTCAAAGCCAACTGGTTAAGGACCTTAATTATATCTGAAAAATCTTTTCTGCCATATAATGTAACATAATCATGGGGAGTGATATCTGTCTACCACAATGAGTAAAATACGGAAAGAATGTTGTAAGTTTTGTTGTTGCTATTGTTGTTTTCGGAAGCATTTTAAGAATTACTTATGATTGAGGGAATTTCCAAGAATTCATTGGAATTCCAATTTATTATTCCCAAATCTCAAAGATTAATATCTGTTGGGAATTTGAAAATAACAGTGGGTACCAAAGAGACAGGCTAATATTTAGGAACAAGGCCCAAAACTTTACTATAGAACTTGAGCTGATGATGAAACCACCACTGCTGCTGCCATGGAGAATTAAATGCCAACATCTCAAATACCTTTCAAACACTATCGCCTCCAGCACAAGTTCATCAGGTTTAGTGTCAGGAACTTGACTTTGCAACCATTACCACCATAAAAACTCCAGCCAAATGGGTCTTCTGCACAGAGCCTATGTCCTCAAATTACTCACTCTGGATTAGAAATCTCTTGTGAATAAGCATGACCGATGGAGCACAGGTCACATGTGTCTGTACTAGCTGCAAAGGATGTGAGTTCTGCCTTCTACTTTTAGGAGATAGGAATTTACCCTTACATAAAAGGGATACACAGAGGATGGGAGGCACAAATATGATTACTACTACTCCTTAGGGGTGGACTCCAGCAGAATCAAAGTCAGTTTTCCCATCATAGTCAGATTTTTTCTGGGAAGAAGACCCTGAGATACATGCAGGATGTTTTTATCAATGAGTGCCCTAGGATCAACATCTGTAGAAGGGAAGAGAAGAAAATTGGATTGAGCAGAAGGAAGGTTGACCTGAGATGAAGGCCCAACAACTGCTTCAGCCGATCCTAAAATGATCAAGGAAATCATTAAGTGCACCTCAACTTTCATCCTAAGTGTATTGAATATATTGAAGACCACTTCTGAAAGGCATATATCACTTAATTCCTTCACAAAGATCTTTAGAAACCATATGTTCTGTGTCCATAAAAGATTTTTGATCACAATTGATAAGAATCAAACCAAGTCTTAGGGGAAGCACTGAAGTTAATCAGGTTGTTAAAAGAGGAGAAACATTGACAGTAGCACCAACCTTCCAGAAAAACTCCAAGAGTGTGACTTTGGAAGGAACAATGAACAGGTTGTCCCTATGCCACTTGTTGTGTGCCCTTAGCACTACCTGCAGCCGGAGCAATATATTCTTTATTTAAGGGATATCTGGGAGGCATATCAAAGTATCCTCCATATTCCGTCTGTTGTTTCTGATACTAAATTTGGTTATATACTTTTCCCTCAATTTTCCAGTCATAACTGAGACAGGTCATACTATTTAAGAAGACTGTCCAAAAGTCTCACGTTCACATTCCTTCCTCTAGCAAGAGTCTTTCAGCCATTTTAAGAATCTTCTTCTGACTTCCAGTGAGCAACTTCTTAATAGATCTCTCTCTCTCTCTCTCTCTCTCTCTCACACACACACACACACACACACACACACACACACACACACACTCATATTTCTTCTAAAGCCAGTCATAACATACAAATATGGAACAATCTAAATCCACAAGAAATGAGTATCTCTTTATTACAAATAAAAGCTATAAAAATGCCCTACCAAAATGCCCCATTTATTAATATATATTTTATGTTATTTTTACATTTAATAACAGAATCCAAGTTATTTTTAAAGTAAATATAATTAGGATTACTTCACGGCATTCAATTTTTTCTAAAACAACGAGCACTTGCTTATTTTATAAATACAAAACAAAAAGGTTCATTCACTTTTGCTTTTCTCTTATCACAAGAACGAAGGGACAGCATACCCCAAAGTTTTCGTATTTTACTAAACCTAAATGTCAGCTTTTATTATATTGATTTACTGAGGATTCAAAATATATATTAGGATTCAGTGTTACCCAGAATTATCTCCCTATGAGCATAAGTAGTGTGTAAATTAGACTTAGAAAATCATACAGAATACATTACATTATAAAAGATCAAAGAGATTAAAGTGACTATAAGAAACATTGATATGAAGAATAACGGCTATCCAACATAGCCACTATAGTTCTAAAAAACCAAACAAAATATATTGGAAAATATTCAAGGAATTTGTACAAAAAAATATTGCAGAATGACAGATCTGACTGTACCTGATCTGGCTCCCATACACACTCCGCCCAGTCCCGTCACCTCTCTGATTTCAGCTATGCCCCTTGTTCTCTCAGCTTCAGCCATTTCGACCTTTTTGGAAGTCCTCAAATACATCAGCGGCAGTCCTTTTATAGAGCTTTGTCACAGCTTTCTTTCTGCCTGGAACACTTTCTCCTCACAAATCCCTATACCTCAACTCTCATTTTATTATATGCTTTGCTCAAATGTCACCTTCAAAATGAAGTCTATGCTGACTATATTTTTAATACAGCAACTTTATCACTCCAACCTCCTGCAATTTCAACTTCCTTTATCCTGCTCCATGGTTTCTTTTTTCATCGATCCTAGTGCTTTCTAACATACCAAACATTTACTTAGTTATTTACTCATTGTGTTATTATTGGCCATCTCCCTTACAAGACTGTATACTCCACAGAGGCAAGGATCTGTATTTCATTCATTGATGTATGTAACCTAAGCAGCTAGAGGGTATTGAATAAATATTTGTTGAATTTAATTCAATTGAATTAAAAAAATAGTTCAACATGTTACAAGAAAAAAATTAATAGAGTACAAAAAAGATACATCTTGATAAATTAAGTATCAGGGGATAAAAAAGGAAAACCTTCAAATATCTAAGCAGAAGAACCCAAATAAAAAGAAGAAATTATTTACAAAAGAATAAAAAACATCAAGATGACATTAGACCCAATTTCAGTAATATTGGATGCCTTACAGTGAAGGAATTAAGTACCAAGGCAGGGACCAGAAAAAGTTATAACTCAAGAATTCTATGTCAGTCCAGTATTTTTCAATGTAAAAGCAAGAAAACTTTCTCAAGTATATACTCAATTCCGATACAGTAAAAAAAATACAGATTAGAAAGTGGCCACCTCCTAGTATTAGAGTAATAGGTAACCTCTCTTTCTGCCTCATCTTAATGTCCTGTATCTAGCAAATTCTCTATAGTGAACATGCAGTAATTCTGAGATGCTATATCTCATTATAAAAATTTTAACAATATATGAAGCTGTTGAAAAAACAGGAAAAGTAACCAAAATTCTAATATAAGTCTCAACTTTCAACAATGTCCAATGTGTTTATAATACAATACATTTTCCACTCACTTGCTAAAGAAACTTCTGTTCAGTAGGTGTTTTACTGCCTCTTTCACATCCTTGTTCCTAAGACTATAGATTAAAGGATTCATCATGGGAGTCATCACCCCATAGAACAGGGATATAAGTTTGTCGGTAGCATTCAAGTCATCTGAATTAAGTGTCTCTTTAGACTTGGGCTTCATGTACATGAAGAGGATTGTCCCATAGAATATTATCACCACAGTCAGATGGGCTGAGCAGGTAGAGAAGGCTTTGCTTCTCCCCTCAGAAGAGCGGATTTTGAGGATGCTGGCAATGATTAATGTGTAAGAGATGATGATTAATAGCAGTGGTGTCAATGTGAACAATGTCGTGGCCACGAGCATGATGAACTCATTGCCGGAGATGTCAGCACAGGCCATTTTCATAACAGCCAGAATTTCACAGGAGAAATGATTAATGACACTATTCCTACAGAAAGGCAATTGCACCACAAATGCAGTTTGTACGGCAGAGTTGACAACCCCTGCAAACCAGGACCCAGCTGCCATGGGCACATAGGCATCCTTGCTCATGATCACGGGATATCTCAGAGGGTTGCAAATGGCCACAAAGCGGTCAAAGGCCATCATGCCCAGGAGCACACACTCTGTCGTTCCCATGGCCAAGCCAAGGAACATCTGCACTGCACAGCCAGAGAAGGAAATGGTCTTTCTCTCTGAGAGGAAGCTCACCAGTGTAGAGGGAATGGAGGTGGTGGTGTAGCAGATGTCCAAGAAGGAGAGGTTGCCCAGGAAGAAGTACATAGGGGTGTGAAGGTGAGAGTCCAAGATGCTGATCATAATGAGAGTACCATTGCCCAGAAGGATGACCACATACATTGCTAGGGTTAGCACAAAAAAGAGTAACTCAAGCCTTGGGTAACCAGAAAGCCCCTTCAGAAAAAATTCCACCAGAATGGTTTGGTTTTCCCATTCCATTTTACTGTTCTATTTTGCCTGTGAGAAGTCGAAGAATTTTAAAAAACACGTAATCTCTGTACTATGCTAAGTCCAAGTTTACCAATGCATCAATATAAAAATTTGCCATGAACCCAATATGATTATGGAAGGAAAAATATAGGGAAAGTGAGGAAGAGAGAAAAGGGAAGGGAATAAAAGAAATAAACAATATAGGAAGAGAAGTATGAGGGAAAAGCTATTGTATTGATCAATCATTCTGGAACAGGAACTTTGTGATTTTTTTCTTCCATACATTATCTCATTTAAACAGCACAATATTATCATTTTAAAGATAAGGAAACCTAAAGTGAGAGAGTTGAGCCTAAAGTCATAACTATCATGTAGCACAGCTTAGGCTCAAACTCAAGCCTGCATGCTTGTGGCCTATAGTTGTCTGAGGTTTCTCCATGAATTATAAAAGCAATACAAAATGTATTATATAAGAGATTTGGTAGGTTACTTTGAAAAGGTAGCCTGGCTCCCAGGTCAGGAGAACTCAGCAGTAACCCACATGCATTCAAACACTTAAAGAAGTGTGTCGATCTGAAGTAAGAATAATCAGAAATAAACCCAACCAGCATTTATTGACACCTGATTATCCAAAAAACATGTCCAATTCATATAAAGCTCTGTAATCCGAAATCTTGTTAAAGTACAAGCACCTTTCTATTGGTGGGGGCCAGAATATTTTTTTTAATTTTGCTTTTTAAAATTACCATACAATTAAATGTCATACCATAAACTGATTTTTATCTTTTAGTGTATAGTTCTGTGAATTTTAAAACATGTACAGATTCATGTAACTACCATCTTAACCAGAACGCCAGACTCTTCTATCACCCTGAAACACTCCTTCATGCTATGTGTTTTTTAGTAATCTCTTCCACCTATCCATAAATCCTGGCAATCACTAATATGTGTCTTGTCCCCATAGTTTACCTTTACCAGAATGTCGTATAAATGGAATCATATGAGCCACCAGAGTTGGGCTTCTTTCACTTAGCACAAAGCCTCTGAGATCCCCTCAGGTTGTTATTATGGAATAATATTCCATGGATGGATGTACTTCACTTTGCCTTACCCATCTACCTTTTGAAGGGCACCTGGGCTGTTTCTAGTTTTTGACAATTGTGATTAGAGCTACTATAAATTTTAATTAGTTGGGAGGCTGAGGTGGGAGGATCACTGTGACCAGAAGTTCAAGACAGTCTGAGCAACATGGTTAGACCCCATCTCTACAAAAAACAAATAGAAAAATTATCCTGGCATGGTGGCATATACTACTCAGGAGGCTGAGGCAGGACAGTTGAGCCCAGGAGTTTGAGTTTGCAGTGAGCTATGATGATACCACTGCACTCTAGCCTGGGCAAACAAAGTGAGACCATGTCCTGGAAGAAAAAAAAAATTTAATTGGGTTGTTTGTTTTCTTGTTGATATTTGAGCATTCTTTATATATTCTGGATATGAGTCTTTTATTATATGTTATTTACTGGGATACATTGTCTCCTACTCAGTGGCTTTTCTTTTCCTTCTCTAATAGAAATGCTTTTCAATTGCCATTTTAATTAATTGCTAAGTCCAATTGAACAGGGCACAAAAGAAAGCCTATGACTAAAGAGTCATCTTCTAATGGGAAATTTTCTGACATTTCTCACTTGGGGTGATTCCACAGGGAAATATCCTCTGCTATCATCCAGGAATCGGGAATGGTGAATTTTGCCTCCAAAGACCTTTCCTCAGAAAGTCTCAAGCCATCTCTTTTAATTTTTGCTTAGGAATAGCACTCCCCCCACACACACACCAATTTCCAGTAATATCCTTGTCCATGGACACAGAATCCATTGAAAGAGTTCCAAAAAGTAATTATGTAATTTCTGCAAAAAAACAGGCACTTAACACATAGACTATTTCTCCTTGAAAAAACCTGGCACAAGTTTAAGGTAAAAATTGAGTCCTTTGAACTTATTTCAACATGTTTCTAATTAGCCAGACCTGCCTTCGGCTGTTAGTAGTAGGTACTCCTCTCATCCTATTTCAGCCTTATTTCCAGCAACTCCAACCTTTATACTTTGGTATTCTTTTATGCCCTAAAGAAGCATGCTTCTTTTTTTAGCCAAGTGCCAGATTGACCTTTTTAATGTTTTATAAATAATCCACCCAAATCCCAATTCCCTGGTAAAAGATGACTGAGAAGCAGACTGTGAGAATCATTCCAATGCCACCATATAGTTATTATCATGCCCAATCCATTTTGTCTAATCCAAAGAACATTTAAATCCTATCTTGGCCAGTTACTAGCTATATGACCTTGGACAATTACTTAACTCTTCTGAGTCTCAATATCCTCACCTATAATAAGGGGATTTGAATAGCTTCAGTATGGGATTCTTGGGAGAATAAATAAGGAACTGCATACAAAGAACATTACATGTAGTTAGCACTATTTTTGTTTCTTTCCATCCTCTATGACTTGTTCTTCTCTCAAATTCTTTTACACTTCTGTCCCCAATGTCTCCTTCCTACAAGAATATCTTTAAAAATTTCATCAGTCAGAACATCTCAGGTATCTGGTCTCTTTTTATGCAACTCAACCTACTCTTTTTTATCACATCCTTGATATGAGATGGATGTACATTATACCAAAGTCTACTCACTTTGCAGTGAATAGTGTTATATCATGAGATCAAAAATCCACTGTAATTTAAAACAAGGAACTCAGAGGTTAACATTTCAAAATGAGGGCTATTTCAGTTCATTCATGTAAAATATAAATGCATATGTGTGTGTGTATCTCCCAAATATCACGTCTGAATACAAATGCATTACCAACAACAAAAAATTTAAATATTCAAAACAATCTCCAAAATACTCATGTAAACATAAGTCAAAATTCTTCCAATTAGCTAAAGACTCATTGCTCTTCTTCATTTCCATTTTTCACAAATTCAAAGATGTATTCAAGATCAAGTAATGACGCATTCTAAATTCAAATTACTTGAACCCCTAGTTAGAGGCTTCAAGACAGGGACCATGCTAAAACATTGCCTACTCATGATTAGCACTGGACAAACATTTGCTAAACTGAACCAAATAAAAACTGAATTGGTGACTGAGGTAAATTGCCACAGAATCAGAACTTTGGTGACACCAGCCTGCTTTACATTCTGGATCAAGAAGACAGATCTGCTGCCTGTTGTGCAGCAACCTCTTAGGACCAAAGAGAAATGATACTGTTAAATGTATTATAGTTACTCGTAATGAAGGAAACTATATTTTGACCAAATGAATCTTTATCCCTGGTTAGAAATTATAGACCTAAACATCCTCTGCTTTGGATGTTCAAATTACTTTTGAACTTGCAACTACTCTTTTGGTCATACTTTTTTTATTTGTTCTTAATTTTCTAACTATATCCAAAATAATCCTCATGAAATTTTTATTCCTGTTCCCTATACACTCTAATAAGAAATTTCACCTCTCCCAAACATGGCTTATTTTAACTCAGTTCATTACTCTGACTCCCCCTTGGATTTGTGTTATTAGCATGTTTTCAGCAATTAACTGTAAATGGAAGTTTGACTCACCTCCTAGGTTGCAACACACGGAAGATTGTTTTGCCTTGATCTTCTATTTTAGGATATTCAACAAAAATTTCCATGAGGCTGATGCATTTCTGAAGAAGGAGTTACCACTGGGAAGCCATAATGCCACAGGATGTATTATCTGCAAAACACAGATGACAAAAGGTACCATTTCTAAGTTGTTTCAAAACTTTCCATATATTATAATGCAATACATTTACAACAGGATTGTATTTTGGGTCTGTTAGTTCAAAATTAAGAAAACGAAAAATATTGGGCAGGTCAGTTTGAGAATATGGCACATTTCATTTGCCCCTGAAGCCATGGTGGAAATACTGTTCCATTGTGAAGGCCCGGGAAATTCTTTAGACTCAGGGAAGCAATTTAAATATTTCTTGCTCTCAGAGACTTCTGCAAGTTTCTATGCTATAACTTGAAATTGCTTCAGGGAAAAGGCATTCAAAACTTTTGGAAACTTCAAGAATAATGCCCTATAGACTTAATTATATTACACCCATTATTGTAATTTGAACAAACAATCAGAAGTCTTGAAGATATATCTCATCTCATTCTCAATCTATTATTTATATACTGCCAAGATCCTCCCTTTAAATATATTATAATGACTTGGTCCAGACCTTTGTTCACTCTATCATATCTTGTTGTAATATAATAAAAAGAACTCAGGCTATATTAATTTTTGGTTATTAACAA